TCATTGTGCTCACTCGCTGCACTCGAAATGAACCTGGAAATGATATGGCTTATTTGCCGCGCCTCCCTAAAGACAGTCCTCTTGATCGTTGTAGGGGTCTCGCAGTGATAAGAGAACTCCACGCTCTTGGAATGAGCAAACACAGTAGACATGGTCGGAACAAACCAACCAACTCACATTTATTTAACTATTTTTAGAAACGATATCATCAGCCAAATTCCTATAACATCAATCATGATCAACACGCCAAGACAACCTTACACAATAATAAACAACACTCAAAAACATGACAAACAAGGCGGTGCGGCTGACGCCTGACTCGCTACAAGGGCCCCCGGCAGACGACCTGCGGTGCCATGCACCAGGGTCCCACTGCGAGAGACAACCATTTGTGCTTACTGTTACGCGCAACAGAGACTCGCTCAATTCTCTCGTGCCGCCACAGAGGCTTGCTGCCAGGGCTCACCGCCGGTGCTACCGATCTAACCATGATGATGATAGTGGTGATCAATGCTCGCGAACACAATTCCACCTACCTCTCAATAATTGTGAGCCTGAAATACGGCTTCTGCGCGAGACACCTGTGCCACGCGGTGCAAGCAACTTCACAAGGGGTGTCAACACCCCTACAGCGTTTGTTACAAGCCAAGCGTTTGTTACAAGCCACCACGTAACACACCTGAATTTGCACACGAGCTTAATAACTTCGTGAGTGATCTTGGCCAAAAACACCCAAAAGCAGGTATTTTGCTTTTTGGAGATTTTAGTTTTCCATAAACAAACTGGTGCAACGATTCTGTTCTAGTCGCAGGAAATGAGGTCGCTAAACATTTTGTTAATGTGTGCCATAATCACACAAACTTGACTTGTATTGGAGCTCATGCGGTTTACAAACGACACCTTTAGTATACTTGATAAATATACAAACTAGCCAACCTGGTAGGCTATCATCATTGAATTATCTTCGCGAGGTAAGTGACCATAAAGTAATACATTCCGCCTTCACTCTCCAACTGATACAAAAACTACAGTCGAAACAAAACTATACGCTTGTATGACAAGGGCGATTCCAAGTCCAGGAACAATGAATTGAGCCATTTCCTCTCAACCTTTGAATCATTATTTCCCACACATACACTTCAGGAAACCTGGACGCTGTTTCAAAACAAGATGAACGAACTTGAAAACAAACATATTCAAAACTTACAATGCACATAAATCACTACAAGCCATGGTTTGTAAAAGCTATAAAAAGATAAGAAAGCAAAAAGAAATGTCGCTTCCGGTCAGCCACGTGTCTTGGAAGCACTGAGGCATGGTTGAATTATTACATTGCAGAGAACGCCTACCTGAAAGCCGTTCTCAATGCTAAAAGAACCTTTTTTAATGTTGACCAACCCCAGCTGCTTACTCGTAATCCTTGACAGTTTTGCCCCATTTTAAATTCCCAAGAAACACGCTCTATCAGCATAACAAATGGAGAAGGCGCAACAGTCACAGATGACGAATGCGCCGATATAATCAATGAAGCACTTTTTTCGGTGTTCACAAAAAAAAAAAAAAAACTACTACTCCAGTCATTCTACTACTTTATATCATAACACACATGCCACCAGTAGTATTTTTTACTGATGACTTGTTGTCAATTTGTCAATAATTGAAAAAAGCAAGCTCTGTACTTCATCAGTTATAGACGAAATTAACTTGAATGTGAAAATATATATGAGCACACAAGGTGGAAGGAAGGAAGCACTTGACAGGAAAGACGCTAAACTTACAACTGCAGTTTTATTAGAACAAATTTATTGCACGAGAATATCGATACGCGCGGGCACAACCATCACTAAAAGGCGTCACCCCACAAAAGGTATGTTTCCCTTCTTCAGCTGCTCAAAAAACACACCACTTTTTCACTTAGCGCAACCGAGGGAACACTGATACACATGTTTGCATTCGCAGTAATCTGTTCTGCTGCTGTGATTTCTCTGGTCAATCTGAGTTTTTATTTGCCCAAAATCTTCGTATTGCCGAACTGCGGATTGCACCCATGATCCCTTCAGTGCATTGACAAGTGCGTGCCACCTGCTGGAATCTTCAAGGTCGACGCATGTTCTCTAAGTCGATCATTTAAACATCTGACTGTCTGGCTGTAGTACACTTTTTCACAGCTCAAAGGTATTACACACACAATTTGGGCAAATCAAAACTCAGATTGACCAGAGACATCATGGAAGCAGAACAGATTAGGGCGAATACAAGCACGTGTATCAGTGTTCCCTCGGTTGCGCTAACGAAAAAAGAGGTGCGTTTTTTGAGCAGTTAAAGGAGAGAAACATACCATTTGTGGAGTGACACCTTTTAGTGTGTGGGGTCTCTAATTGGCAAGCGACAGGCTCTTGGAGTGAACGAACACAGCAGACATGGTCGATCCAAACCAAACACATATTTATTTAACTAATTTAGAACGACAATATCGTCAGCCAAATAATTGGTACACCAATCGTGATCAACGTGCTAAGACATCCTTACACAATATTAAACAAGACCATAAACAAGGTGGTGTCGATAACGCCTCACTTGCCACGTCGGCCTACCGCAGGCGACCCGAGGTGTCGTCCACGGCGGACCCACCGTGAGAGACAACCGTTCGCGCCAAACGCCACCAGCCGAAAGAGACTTGCTCAACTCTCTCTGCCACTACCAAGGCTTGCCTGCCACCAGGGGTCACCGCTGGCCCTACCGCTCTAGCAACCATGATGATGATAGTGGTGATCACCGCTTGCGAACACTATGCCACCTTTCGCTCAATAGTTGTTACCCCGGAAATACGGCTTTTATGCGAGACATGTGCATCACGCGGGACAAACAACTTTACTGGAGATGTCAGCACCGATACAAGTGATAGTTGGTTGCGCCTGCGCATTTCGGTGTTTCCGTGCAATGAATTTTGTTTAATAAAACTGCAGTTGTAACTTGAGACTGTTAAACTTATTAAACAAATAAATCTACAATAGGCAATAATATATACAGATTTTTTAAGCATAGTAAAAGGTCTGAAAACTCTTAAAAAGCACAAAAACCCCTTCCTTGTCTCACTTTACTCACTTTTATGCACAGTCTACGCATCTAAACAGTATGTTGTAGTTTGCTGGTGCCAGGGCACCGCGAAATACAAGGCAACGTTTTGGTGGACCAGCTATCAATACATGGATACCAATTTCTGCACTTGACTTGAAAGCTTTTATAAAACAAAAGCTAAGGGGTTATTGGCAAAGCACATGGGACACACGCTTAGGTAACTGCATTTAACTGCATGTTATCAAGCCACAACTTGGTCATTGGCCACCAGTATCCACATCATGCCACACAGAAGTAATACTTACAAGGTTAAGAACAGGACATAGACACACTACACAATAATTTTTTTTGTCTGGTGGCGATCCGCCTTTGTGTGACAGATGTGAAGAGGCATTCACCGTACTTCACATTTTAATCCAGTGTAAAGAATTGGACACGCTGAGAACACCACACTTTCCATTACCTTACCAACATCAAATACCGCTTCATCCTGCAATGTTCATCAGTAGAAAACCACTTTTCACACATAAATCGTTGTAGGCTTTTTTAGGTAAGTTCGTACCTTTCATATTATATACCCGGGCATCCTGTAGCACGACCTCGCCAGAGAGGTCTCCGCTGCGGTGGCTACACTGAACAAAGCACTTGCCTCACGGCCTCATGGCCCTTAGATGCCAGGGTGTGAACCCTGGCATGTCTACCATGATTTTTTATTATTACAAACTTTCATCATCCATTGACGCTACACACTTTTCACGACAGGGTCATGATTTTAATACCTCTATGTTTTTACCTGCCTTAGCACGAGGAATAATAAGACCCTTATACAGCCACTTATCACAATCATTGTCCGCATCTCTAGTCCCATTGATTGATTGATTAAAACTTTATTTTTGTCCTGAGAAGACGCAGGGGAGACCCTGCGCCACCGAACTGGTTCTCTTTGGTCATCAAGTGGCCCTTGCGCCACAAAACACCAAACATCATCATCACTGTCGTGTAATCATCTCGGTATTCACCTTTTATCAGACTTGGAATACGCACCAAGCAGCTGTCTCTTTAAAAGCCTCCCAGTTTCTCGGCTATCTGCACAGAAACTTACACAACACTCCTTCTAGTGTACAGGCATTATTATATCTCACATATGTTCGTCCACAATTAGAGTGCATCATCCACAGCCATCCAGATTAGGGCAGTGATATTCATAGCTGGTAGAAATTCAAGTATCTCCCGAATAAAACAAGACCTTGCATTAATGTCACTGGATCAATGCAGCGTAATCACCCTTTTATGTTTATATCATAGGTACATCTGCAGTAACCAATGCCACTGTTTGTCTTTTCATGTCTCTTTGCGCACATTTTGATGCATTCACAACGCACATAGTTTCGTGAGAATTCATGGTCATACACTGGCATTTAACTAATCACCATTACCTCGAGTCATAGCACATTGGAACAGCCTTCCAGATCACATTTTATTCATCTATAACCGTGAATCTTTTCATGATAACCTGATTTCATTGCATTTTTCTACTGTACAACTTTGTTGCACCTTGCTGTTTATTATTTGTTTGTTTGTTTCCTTGTTCCTTTTTACTGTTTGTCTGTATTTTTTGCAATATATATACTAATGCCCTCATACTCAGTCCCCTTTTATGGGTCTGTAAGGCATTTTAAATAAATAAAAAAAATATATGACAAGAATAGCAGCTCAGTGCATGTCTCCTATAAAGAGGCTCAAATGTGCTTGTACTCTGGTTCATATCGAGGAACCTATAGGCCAGCTCAATCCGGAATTTTCAACAACAGTGGCACTCATCATTCATGTTTGTTTGTTTTTTTTTTTTTGCACAAACCAGATGAGTGAATCTCAGGCACGTGTAAAAAAAGTTTGCTTTGTTTTTCTGTCTGTTCTTACAGGCACCTCTGCACAAGAAAAAGATTGCAGCCATCTGTCTTCTGTTTACAGAGGAGAATGCTTCTGGGGGTAAGTGTCCTATTGATGCAGTTTGCTGGTCACGTGTCCTCAATAAACTTAGGTAATTATTACACTCTGTGAACACACATCAAATGATACATCTCTGTTACACGCCAGTTGAAAGTAGGAAGGGCTATGAAGGTTGTAAATTTCACTGAAAAATTGGTTTTGCAAAGGCAGTGTCTTTCAAAGAGTCTTTCATCTTTTCCTTTCTTTTTTTTTTTTTTTGAGTGAAGGGATGTGATGATAACATTATGGGGAGTATTTATTTAAAGCTCATGAGTATGTACCAGAGTGGGGTCACACTGCACAGGGTGCACAAAATGCAAGTCAACAGGGCAAGCCAGACTCAGCCCCACAACAACAACAATGTCGTTTTCCATTCGGCGCCATTTCAGCAGCTCTGCCAAAGTTGTATTTCCATACCTGTGACAATATTGCCACACATGCTCATTTTGTTCTGTTTCATGTTGCCGGCCCATGAAAAGTATAGATAGTGCCTGGGGCGAATCGTGCCAAAATGTCTGAGAGTATTTGAGATTATCTTGGGATCACTTCATAAGCTTGAGCGTGCAAACGCGAACAGCTGTGTTGATGCTAGAAAAAATGCAACCACCAGTGATGATGCTCGAATTTTCAACGCCGCATGTGTAAATGCCAATGTGCTTTTTTAAAAGAAATATACTTCCTTAGTGCACAGGGAATGATTCAGAAAGGAGACAGATAGGACAAAGCGTACATGCCTTGCTACGTGCCTTGCCACGAATCACTTGATCAACGGCAACACTCTGTTCGCTTCTCAGTACCAGTGTGTATCCTGCCTTTCTGTTTACTCGTCACAAGTTCAGCGAAATAAACGTTTCGGTGATGCTATCGCTGCGCCAATTGCGCCAAACTGTGCTAGGTTGCTCTGGATGCTAAATGCTGCTACATTTCCTGAGAAATTGGTGAGTCTGCACCCAACCTGGGGCTAAGGGCATGCTCTGACTTTCAGAAACAAAACTGGTGCACTTGCATAAGATGCGATCCCAGGCAAGCCAAGCCGAACTGGGCTAACCAAATGTCAATATTGGGAACATTGAATGTGGTTAATCTTCGATTTTTCAGTCTTCCTAGGCACCGCAAAATCGCCACAGCCCCATCTGAATTGGCTGCAATGTCTCCTAGAGTACACTTATCAGGCATTTCAGTGCACGCCCAGGATGTCGTAAATACATTCACGACCTGCTGACGTACATTTGAAAATTTGCATCACTTGACGATCGTGTGGATACCAGCAAAGCACGGAATAAATTGCAGCTTTCTCGCATGGAGCGTGTGAAAACCATGACGCAGAATAAAGAAATACTTGTCCGGACCTCCGTGATGTTTGTGTGCTGTGTGTACTTAGAAGATGCGCCACTGAACGAAAATCTCCGGTCACACATATCATTTGCTGCTACACAAGGCCGATCGTTCCTAGTGTGCAGCACACGCCAGTGCAGCTGATGCTGTACCTACCATACTGGGCCCCATTTTCATGTGTTTCACGAAAATGGGGCCCGTGTTTGTCATGAAAATGTGTTCTTGATGCCCATTGCATTCCTGACCGCACATGGGTGCGGCTGTGGCGAGCTGCTTTCATTCGTTAAGGCACAGCGTCTCTGCGGCACACTTGGCCAATTCGCACAGAAAGGCAGCATGAATGGTGGCGCGGCACGTGGGCGATAAAAAGCGTGCAGTACATTTACAATTGCGCCACATGCAGTAACCAGCAGTTAGCTGAAGATGATTATCAAAAAGTGATTAAGGGGGCACATGGGCCTTGTGTAACTATTGCTACTGCTGCTAGAGTAATGAAACTTGCAGGTAATATCTAATTTAACGTGCTGACTACAAATATGCAACTAGTTTTTGTGTAAATTATGCAGAAAAACTTATACAGTTTTTTTCTATTTTTTACTTCTGGGATGACTGGCAAAAAATGTATTACAATAAGAAAGCTAAATGTTACATTTATATATTCCTGAATGCTCAATGATTTCAAGAAGCATAATTTATTGTTTCTGCACCTATTTTATCCCAAGTTACAAAAGTTAAAACAATAAACGTGAAACATGATTTCGCTGTCTATTGTTTGCCCAGATTTTCAAAATTTTTCATGGTGAAGAAACATTGTACTATAGGCATCTTGTACTCTTTGGAAGCCTAGCTATCAGATAAAAAAAATCCTTCAGAACTGGGTGATTAGAAGGGTAACAACAGCGCCCACAACGTGCAAACAACCCAATAAAGTGTTCTGAGAAAAATGGGAAAAACTAATGACCGTGTGAAAAAAGCTCTTTATCTTCTGGATGAGCACGATTGCAACTGCGAGTGGCTCAGAAGGCTCCTGGAGAATAATCTGGGTTGGGCTTTCCCCTTTGCCTCCGCTTAGCAGCTGCCTGGAAGGCTACTGCCTCTTTCTCTCTGCATCGACAGTTAGGGAATTTCCAGTGAGTGAAACTAGATAGTTCGCGAAGTAAATGTTCTGTCCTAGCAAAACTATACTTTCTACAAGCCTCAAATTTTGTGAGAACGTGCAGGAAGATGTCCTGAGTGGAATATCAACAAAATTGAAAAATCCGTTTTTTCGCTATTTTTTCGCTTTCAAGACCCTTGTGCCTCCTTAAGTCTTAGCGGCCTGTTTACCGCATTGCCGTCATATCCTCCGGGCATTTCTGGCGCTTATCCATTAGACATAACCTCACTATGCTGTGGTACCGGTCTTTTGAATTTTTGATCTGCTGTACCCTATAGAAGTTGTACTTTCAAACAGTGATGTGATGCCAAACAATTTTTGAAAGCGCTCTTTAAAAGCGCTTTTAACTATACAGAGGTGGACTGGTCACACCACAAACACAAAGCGCAGACTAGTAAATATTTTATTTTCTGACATTTTCCTCGCATATATACATGAAGGAAAAGGTGTCGCAAAAAACCTGAGACAAGACAAAAAGAAAGTATTAAGAAAGTTAAGTTATTTTTATAAAATGAGTTTTTTTCAAAGAAGGATCAATAGGTGGTGTGCTGATACATTCGTCGGCGTATGCCTGTGTCATCATAAAAAATTCCGTCATGACTCGTTCCGTTTTATTACAAACCTGTGGCAAGACTGTGGTCTTCTCGAAAAGGGGCGTATATTAACATTGCGATACATGTGATGCTGGATTACCCAGATGTGTGAATAATTGACAGTTATTTCGGTGCTCTCTTAACCTTGTTTTTAAACACCTTTCCGTCTGTCCGACGTATCTTGTACCACGTTTCACAGGAATGTCTTGCACTGCAGTCAAACCTCGTTATAACGAAGTTGAAGGGGGGGTGTAATTACTGCATTATAACCATTAGTTCGTTATAGTCAATATTCATTTCTACTGAGAATCAGCCAGGAAGACAGAATGTACACGCCAACGAATATCACAGCAGCCCACCGCGCCGAAAAAAAAACGGCCATCGGAAGGCAAAAAATTGCAAAATAACAAAGAACAATGCACTTTATTACCGCCAAATTCAGCGCACCAGCTGGCAGATATCTTCAAAGAAAAATGGTCCTTAATATTATTGAATTTTGCCGACTCTTCCTCATGCAGATGGCTGCTTTTCCAGCTGCAGTGGCTATTTTGAGTCCGTCCTCGCCGTTAATGTAAGCACCAAAGAAGCAGCACAGCAGCCCTGTCGCATCCAGTGCTTGCGCGGGCGTTGGTACTTCGGATTCGCCAACATTAGGCTCGGGGTGTTAACACATATGTCACTGTCGTCATGCATGTCCGTCACCGCGGGCACAATATCCACATCTGACAAATCTTTGGCTGTCACCGCCTCAGCATCGGCACCGACGTACATGCAGACAGGCACAATGCTGGTGTCAAGGAGAGCGTATGACGACGTCAGGGCCTGGTCACCCGCGGCACCCAGCGACATCGCCGAAATCTTCGGTCACTTTTTTTTTCTTGATGCCAGACTCAACGGGTTTTCACATTGCCGACGTCTGCTCGATTGTTTATTTTTGCGCTTACGTTTGCAGCTGCCGTTGTCCATCTCGTGTCTAACGGCAGAAACTGATAGAGGTGGCGTTGCTCTTCAACAGTGAATGACAACGAAGAAAACCACAATCTCCACCGCCCGGGCGGCGTGCTAGGCCCCAGCACAGAACTAAAGAAAAGGAGGAGGTCATGCGCGTGAGCGGGTCAACGAGTTCTACAGAAGAGGGGAGGCCGGCTGACGCGCGCACTCGCTCAAGTTGCTGCGTGGACGAGTTTATTAGTTCCCAAGGAAGGGGGAGGCAGAGACTCGCTCCCACTGGTGTGTTGGCAGGCCGCAGGCGGCTGCCGGGGAGTGCAAGGCGCATCTTTTGAATTACTGCAGCTGTGATGAGACGTAAATTGTCGCGCGCTTTAAGATATTGAATTGACGTATACCAAAATTATCAGTAAATGCTCATTGCAGACGAAGAATGGCTCGTTATATTTATTGTGAGGAAATTTTTGCTTTGCTAAAAGGAGGTTTTAAATACTTGGGCATCTATGGGAATTTTAAGGGGAATTGCAATTGCTTCGTTATATTCATTAGTTTGTTATATCCTGCTTCACTATAACAAGGTTTCAATGTACCTTCTTATTATAATGGACAAACTTTATAATGTGATTGATACTGCAATCAGTATTACTATTACATTTTTTCTCGCAGCCCTTCACCCTCCGACACATTGCAGTATGTTTTTCCGGGGCCGAGAAAAGCAGTTCGAGGTTCTGTGCATTTGCAATCTTATTAAGTTTGTGTGAAAAACTGTGCATGTATGGCAGAAATATTGGTCTTGCTGTCTTTGTAGGCATTTCATTGCGTGGTCTATTCTTTTTCCCGTTACTTGTCTAATAGCTTATCAGTCGCCGACACGATCAAAGAATCAGGAAATTCACTGTTCTTGAGCATTTTCACCTGTGTAATGAAGCTCTGCATCACTTTATGCGGACAGTATTTTTACACAGTTT